AAAAAAAAAAGAAAGAAAGAAAGAAAGAAAGAAAAAGAAAAGAATGTCTAAGCCTTGAAAGGACCTTAAAAATGATCTTTGCCAATAGAAAATGATGAGACTATTTGCACCTACTTCCTTCTGAGATGTTTGTAAGGACTAATAGATATACAAACAAAGGGTTTAGCAGCCAGCTTGGTGACTCACAGGCTGGGAGGCCTAGGTGGGTGGACTGCCTGAGCTCAGAAGTTTGAGACCAGCCTGAGCAAGATTGAGACCCTGTCTCCTACTAAAAATAGAAAAACTAGCTCTGTGTCATGGTGGGTGCCTATAGTCTCAACTACTTGGGAGGCTGAGGTAAGAGGATCACTCAAGGCCAAGAGTTTGAGGTTGCTGTGAGCTATAACACCATAGCATTCTACCAGGGGCAATAAAGTAAGACTCCGTCTCAAAAACAAAACAAAACAAAAAAAGGTTTAGCAAAGAGTCTAGTAATATTTTGATATTAATATGTAATCAGAATGGCTGTAGCTGTAAGGGAGATAGGAGGACCCCTTACCTGTCACTCGAACTCAGTGAATTGGATCTGGGCTGTTCAGAGCAACACAGGTGTCTACTGGAATCCCACATCTGCAAATAGGAAAAAAGAATAATAGGTGACCTTTGGGATTCCAGGAAGAATGGGCAGCATGATAGACACCCTTCATTTTCCCCATGATGCTCCTTTGAGCACCTAAAGATCCAACCCATATAGAGTCTCCAACTCCTCAAATATGGGACCAGAGACCCAAATTAAACCCCTCAATCTCTAAACTGAAGTCCATGAATCCCAAATTTTAACTCTGAGCCTCTACATCATGACCTAGACCTAAAACAAAATCCACCAAATCCCCCAAACTTTGACTTCAAAACTCAGTCTTTCCTACTAGCGAGTGTCTGAAATGGAGACTCATAGGCATGAGTGAGTGGATCGAGACCTCTAGACTGTGACCCTAAAACTATGATTTTAAATTCCCAAAATGAGGATCTAGAACCCCCAAGGAACTTCTCCCAAATCTACAAATCCAAAACTCTAATACTGAGATACTCTCAACCCTCACACTGTCAACTTCTGATCCCCAGATTTGATCCTAATTCTATCTGTAAGATCACAGACCACAAAACACTGGGAACCAAAATCCTAAAGTAAAAAACTCAGACCCCTCCAAAGGAAACCTCAGTTCCCAAAACTGACCTCAGATCTTAAGATAAAGACCCCCCCCAGTCACTTCAGCAATTTGGGGTAAGCAATTAGACTTTCAAATTGCTTACCCCAACCCTAAAACTGAGATCTTACAAGTGAGTCCCACTCTGAGACCCCAGACCTTAGATTAATGCCCCCCTTTACTCAACGTGAAGACTCAAGGCCCTAAAACTTGATTCACAAAGACCCAAACTGGGACTCTAGGCCCTAAATCTCATACCTTATACTCTACTTTGGAGTTTTAGGCCCTAAATCTAAATTGACGGTTCAATCTTCCCAAATCAGACCCAGGGTTCCAAAATGATACTCCAGAACTTAAAAAACTAAGACTTCCAGATCCCCAAATTAAGATCTTGGGATTCCCAGGGAAAATTTCCAGTCACAAACCCCCAAACTTCAGATTCTAGAACAAGTCACCTACAGAAGCAAATCCCCAGACCCCAGATCCTAACCAGAAGCCCAGATCTTCAGTATAAACCCATCCAGAGCATTCCGTAGCTCAAATTGTAGCCTGGATCCCTAGACCTAGGCCCAGCCCCAAACCCAAACTCCAGCCCGTGCTCCACCCCCACAGGCCCTGCCTCGAACACGACCCTGAGCCCAGGACACAATCGCCGCCCTCCTGTCCCCCTTATCCCCAGAGGAAGGCCGGGCTGCCAAGTGCCACTCCTGTGGGAACTCTAGGCCCTCCTCAGGCCAGCTGGTGCCTCCTTCTCCTCAGCCTCCAACACCTGCCTCAGAACTTGCAAAATGTTGGAAGGCGGCCCCCTTTCTGGTTTCGCGACAGTCCCACACTTGGGAGTCTATTCGGATAGCACCTAGCGCAGGTCCCTGGAAGCTGACTGGCGCGTGAGCTCCAGGCCGCTTTGGCCGCCACGTTCCCAACCCGGGCTTGGTGTGTGTGCGAATCCTCTGAGCGCGAGGTCTGAGGAAAGCAAGAATGCGCTTCCGAAGCTAAGCCACGCCCCCACCAGTTCCAGTCAAAGGGTGCTGTGCGTGAGACTGGAAAGCGTTGAAAGGGCAGCGTGCAAGTGGCCGTGCGCACGCGCGCCTGGGAAGAGCCCTGTCCTCTTGCACAGAGTGAGCTGAGCCTCGCGCCTCCTGACAAGGCTTTTGCCGGCGCGCGCTAAAGTCACGACCAATCAGCACTCAATCAGCTACCCGCCTTTTTGGTGGGCCACGCCCTCTTTGCCATGCCCCACGAGACTTCTAGGTCAGGAGCCCTCGGATCCAGAGGAGGCGGGGTCTCTTCAACTGCCAACTACCAGGAAGAAAGGGAGAGCTAGTCTGTCTCCTTGCAAGGTCCTGGGTACTCTATTCCCACCTTTTCTCTTCAATGCATATTTAATGAAGGCCTACTAGGTGCTGAGCACCATGCTGAATGCTGGGAACTTAGCCACTGTCTTCTCAAGGCAGTGTAGTGAGACCAGGGCCACATTAACAAAGAGAACTTATAATAAATTGGGAAAGGATTCAAAGAGAAGAGCCGTTTGGACCTTAGTAACAGTTCTCAGGAAGATGTAAATTCTTTAAGATGTAAATAAACTTCGTTTTGGAAAACTCATTCTCGAACGCCTATAAGAAGGATGAACTGGGGGCGGCTCCTGTGGCTCAAGTGAGTAGGATGCCGGCCCCATATACCGAGGGTGGCGGGTTCAAACCCAGCCCCAGCCAAAGCGCAAAAAAAAAAAAAAATAAAATAAATTGCTGGGCCTTGTGGCGAGCGCCTGTAGCCCCAGCTACTCTTAGAGGCTGAGGCAAGAGAATCACCTAAACCCAGGAGTTGGAGGTTGCTGTGAGCTGTGTGACGCTGCCATGGCACTCTACGGAGGACAATAAAGTGAGACTCTGTTTCTAAGAAGAAAAAAAAAAGAAGGATGAACTAGAAAATATGTAAGGGGAGGTGATCTAACGACTTAGTTGAAAGTAGAAGACCTGAAGTCCAGCACATGTTGGATCAAATCACTTCTTGGCTCTGTTTTCATGGATCAGAGGCTTAATCTCTTTCCGCTTTATAAATTTGGGGTGATAATTCTTACTAAGGTTGCCTGCAGGGTATCTAGCATATATGTGACTCCTATGCAATTAATATTTACTCAACACATATTTACAGCGTTTGAGATCTTGGAACAAGGTACACAAAGACTCTCTTGTTCGTGGAACTTAAATTCTAACTATGATGTGGCTAGCTCCTAATGCGTGGGCTTTTTTCTCTCCCAGGCTTAATACTCTCATTTGTAATTTTTTTTTTTTTTAATTGAGACAGTCTCACTTTGTTGCCCTTTGTAGAGTGCTGTCGCGTCATAGCTCACAGCGACCTGAAACTTGGCTCAAGCGATTCTCTTGCCTCAGCCTCCCTAGTAGCTGGGACTACAGGCGCCAGCCACAACACAAATGTAAATGAGGAGGTAAGCAGAGGGGGGAGAGGAGAAAAGGATGGGAAAGTATGAGGCACTGAAATTATTGTGTTAATCGGCATAAATAAATCAATAAACTTTCTCCTCCCCAACTCTCCACCCTCACCAACGCCCTTTTGCAATTTTCTTAATTGCCTTTGCAGGGACTCCGGCCAAAATGGAGGAGGCTGGACTCCATCTCCCAGAGCGCCTCGCGGGGGGGGGGAGATCTCTGCGCCTGCGCTGCCAAGTGTCCCGTATTCCTTTTGGGAGTTAGAGTCGTTCTTTTCCGCAGTCCGCCTACTTTGCTTCCTACCTCACCCTCAGTCTTTGACCGCACTGCCTTCTGGGAGGGGTAGTCCATAGCCTGTTGGACTTCAATTCCCAGCGGGCCTACGGGCGAGAACCCGGAAGGGGCGGCTGGAGAGGAGCGAGTGGGGGAAACCCGCGCAGCCGAGGGAGGTGCAGCGCACCGCGACGGTGAGATCCCCAGGCGGGGGCGGGGGGCATTTGAGAGTGGGGACCGGGGTTCCGGACTGGGTGGAGTGAGGGAAAAGACAGGGGCTAAAGAGGGCCTTGGGCGAGGGGAGATAACCTGGGGGTGGCGACTGGGAGGATTGGGAGCCGGAGGTAGTAGTAGAATGGGGGCTGGGGGAGGGCTATTGTAGGTGGGGAGGGAGTCGACCTTTGAGATTGATTGTAAGGGGGGGGGTGGGTCAGACCTGGGGAGGAGGACCCTGAGTTGGAGACGAGGCTGGATTTCTAGGCAGAGTCTCTGAGGGAGTCAATTTTGAGGGATTTAGTCTGGGGGGTATGGAAAGATAACGAGGGTCAAGACTAGATGAGTGAGGAGGTCTGGAGGTTTCAAGAGAAAGGCCAACAGTGGGTGAAACGGACTGGGGCCTCTGGGTCGCATTGAGGCTAGGAAGGCAAGTTGAGGAGGTGAGAGAGAATTCAGTGGTGGGATAGAGTATAGGTTAAGTTCCAAGACTGAGGAGTGTAAAATTAAGGGCCTGGATATAGAGATAGTTTGCGTAGTTCAGCCAGAGACTCCGATAAACTGGACAGTAACAGAACTGTAGTAATATGGCCAGAAAGGGCCATAGAGACAACCTTTTACATCTTCACTTCCCCACTGGAATTTTGAAGAGTGTAGTGGTTTATCTGTATTAGCAGAGTACAATATTCAGATCTCTTATTATTCCAGTCCTTTGTGACTTGGGCAAGTCTCTCTCTGAACCTCAGTTACCTTATCTGTAGTGTGAGAACAAGAAGTATGCTGCTGAGGTCTAAAGGGAGGCTCATTAAAATTGTTACTGTTGATGGGGCATGGTGGCTCATGCATGAGGTCAGAAGTTCGAGCCCAGCCTGACTAAGAGCAAGACCTGTCTACTAAAAACAAAAAATGTGTCGTTGGTAGTGGCACAGGCCTGTAGTCTCAGAGACTGGGGAGCCTGAGGCAGTAGGATGCCTTGAACCCGGGAGTTTGAGGTTACAGTCAACTATGATGACACCACCGCACTCTGGGTGACAGAGGGAGACTACTGTCTCAAAAAAAAAAAAAAAAAAAAATTGTTAGTGGAAAGCCAGGCTGCAAAGTTTCACTATCAGAGCTGTTAGTGGGAAGTGACTGGATTACACGTGCTAATGGATTCTCTTCTTTTTACTCCAGCTCCAGGTGTGTTTTCTCAAAACCTGGCACTGATCTGGGCACACCCTAGCTCAGAAGCATGTAGGGGCTCTGCTAATGCTTATTGTATCACAAAGTGCCTAGCCCTGTTAGTTGTTTGTACATATTAACTCATTTAATACTGGTGTAAGGTGTAAAATGCTGTTATTGTGTCCATTTTATAGAAGGGAAGCAGAGATACAGAGAGGTTGAGCAACTTTCCAAAGGTCATCAAAGCACTCAAGATTCCAATCCTGGCAACCTGGCTCAGAATGTGTGCTTTCACCACTGTAATCTAGTCTCTTCTTGTACTGAAGTACAATGTATTGGGTAGGGATAGAGACCAAAGTAGTCTTCAGTTAGAATTTTAGTTCTGCCATTTACTTGGTGTATGATGTCAGTCAAGTCTTTTGGTCTTTCCTTACCTAGAAAATGGGATCAAAAACCCTAAGAAGGAGAGAAGATACAGGGAGATAATTTGTGTGAAGTGCTTGGAACAAGTGCTTAATACATAGATTGTCTTTTTGGAACATGAATGGGAAAACAAGAGAAGACAATAGAGAGCGACCAGTGAGAGAGGCATCAGGTAGATGCCAGGCTGTCTCCTGTTCTTCCTCTTTCAGGTTGCCCACATATCTTGACCCTTCTTGTTTGCTACCCTCTACCCCTGGGTTCCTAAGTCCAACTATGACTCCCCGAAAGGGTGCTTAGAAACTCAGTGTGTCTCCATCCCCATTCCTGTCCCCAGCCAGATATAAATCATTTGCCAAAAGCCAATCTGGCCTAACTCCAGGTGTTTCAGTGAATAGGAAATTTGTTTTTCTTTTTTGAGACAGAGCCTCAAGCTGTCCCCCTGGGTAGAGTGCCGTGGCATCACAGCTCACAGCAACCTCCAACTCCTGGGCTCAAGCGAGTCTCCTGCCTCAGCCTCCCAAGTAGCTGGGACCACAGGCGCCCACCACAATGCCCGGCTATTTTTTGGTTGCAGCCAGCATTGTTGTTTGGCGGGCCTGGGCTGGATTCGAACCCGCCACCTTAGGTGTATGTGGCTGGTGCCTTAGTCACTTGAGCCACAGGCGCTGAGCCAATAGGAAATATTTCTAACGGGGTTTTTTGTTTGTTTTTATTCCGTTAAAATTATGGTCTGTAGGCCTCATAGGGCAGTTTGGCAACTTTATAGTTTACCTTGAAATGATTTGGTTCATTTGCTGTGAACCTTCTGGAGTTTATTATAAGTATAGTGACTCTGATAGTAAAGCTTATTATGGTTAAAAGCACTAGCATCACATAGGACCAGGTTCAAATCCTGGCCTCTGTTGCTATGTGTCCTTGGCCAACCTGCATTCTCATTCTGGGCCTGTTTTCTCATGTGTAAAACAAGACCACATTCAAACTGTGAGGTCCTCCTAAAGAGTTGATGAGGTAAATAATGAGGTAGCACATAAAATGCCTGGGGTGTATTAAGCTCTTAATAAGTGTGAGGTTCTTCTATGATTTTTATTTTTTATTTATTTTTGGAGATAGAGTCTCACTTTGTTGCCCTAGGTAGAGTGTAGTAGTGTTGTAGCTCACAGCAACCTCAAACTCTTGGGCTTAAGTGATTCTCTTGCCTCAGCCTCCTGAGTAGTTGAAACTGCAGGTACCTGCCACAATGCCAGGCTGTTTTTAGAGATGGGGGTCTCACTCTTGCTCAAGCTGGTCTGGAATCTGTGAACTCAGGCAATCCACCCATCTCATCCTCCCAGAGTGCTGCGATTACAGGCATGAGCCACTGTGCCAGGCCCCCAAATACATTTTTCTTAAAAGAATAAAAATCAGGCTGGGCGTGGTGGCTCATGCCTATAACCCTAGCATTCTGAGAGGCTGAGATGGGTGGATTACTTGAGCTCACGAGTTTGAGACCAGCCTGAGCAAAAGCGAGACCCCATCTCTATTAAAAATAGAAAAACTGGGCAGCACCTGTGGCTCAGTGGGTAGAGCACTGGTCCCATATACAAGGGTGGTGGGTTCAAACCTGGCTCAGGCCAAACTGCAATAAAAAAAATAGCTGGGCGTTGTGGCGGGCACCTGTAGTCCCAGCTACTCGGGAGGCTGAGGCAGGAGAATTGCCTAATCCCATGAGTTGGAGGTTGCTGTGAGCTGTGACATCACAGCTCTCTACCTAGGGTGACAAAGTGAGGCTCTGTCTCTAAAAAAAATAATAGAAAAACTGAGGCAAGAGGATTACTTGCACCCAAGAGTTGGAGGTTGCTGTGAGCTATGATTTCACCGCACTCTACCCAGGGCGACAACTTGAGACTGTTCAAAAAAAAAAAGAAAGAAAATCACGGAAGGCTGGGTGAGGTGACTCACACCTGTAATCCTATCACTCTGGGAGGCTGAAGCAGGTGGTTTGCCTGACCTCGTGTTCGAGACCAGCCTGAGCAAGAGCAAGACCCCTGTCTTTAAAAATAGCCTGGCATTGTGGCAGGCACCTGTAATCCCAGCTACTCAGGATGCTGAGGCAAAAGAATGCTTGAACCCAAAAGTCTGAGGTTGCTGTGAGCTGTGACAGCAAGGCACTTTATTGGGGGGGGACAAAGTCAGACTCTGTTTCAAAGAAAAATGTATTTGAGCACAAACTCTGGAGCCAGAGAGCCTGGGTTTTTACATCCCAGGCTGTGTGACCTGGGACAAGTCACTTAACCCCTTGGGACCTCAGTTTCCTCTTCTGGAAAATGGGAGTTCATTAAGTAGTTAGCAAGTGTTAAGTAGAGCACCTTGAGTACTCCACCCTACCCATGAGGAGGCAGGCAACAGTGCTTAGTGTTGTCATGATGATAATGCTGGGGTATTTCTGCAGCTCTGATGGCATTTGTGCTCATTTTTCAGGTTTGAGTTTCTCTATCCCTGATTTATTTTCCAGCCCCTTATGTCAGCTTTGCCTGGGCTTATCTTTGCTTTCATGATTTTTAACATTCTGTCTGCAGCTCTCATTGAATTATCTGAAAACCTTTTGGTTTGGGGGAAAGTTGCCAAACTCTCACTTGCCCCTGTTGCTATATGTCACATCTGGATGTCTCAGGGTAATTTTTTTTCCCTACCCTTCTTTTATTTGTCTTAGAAAATTTGTCTGCTTTCCAAGTTATTTTGCCTTTTCTTAAAATCTTAAATTTGTTTTCAGCCTATGCTCGTCTGAAGCTTACTCATACAAAATGGTATTTTTACCATTTTTTATGATATATTTCTGGCTACTGTCTTATTCCTAAAAGCACAGGTTTTCTAAAAGGTCTGGCTTGTGGCACTGCTTGGTGATGCTGTCCCTAGTCCCTCAGTTATGAATCATTAGCCTCCCCCTTCATATACCTTTTGTCTCCCTTACCTGTTATATTTGTTTCTTTGTACTGCTTGCCACCTCGAAACCGACTGTGTGCTTATTGTCCTTTTCTCTAGTTAGTATGTCAGCCTGGTAAGGATGAGGATTTCTGTCTTCTGTTCCCTCTGTATCCTTGCTGCCCAGAATTGTTTGTGCCTGGCACAAAGTAGGCGCTCTGTAAAGATCTGAATAAGTGAGATCTAATACCCAACAGTAACAAAGCAGTGGCCATATTTAGGTGTTTGTGAGTGACTCTTCGGGATGAGTTTAATTTCTGAATGTGAAATAAAGAGGAGAGAAGTCTTTGTCTCTATTAGTGTTGTCAAACTCTTCTTTAGCCTCACTTTTTCTTAATAATCCCAGCACCTGATTTGGAGCCTCTCCTCATTGCCAGACTGGTACCAGAAACTCTACTAGGTTGATCTCTGAATCATCAGCTAGCTCATGGATGGATCT